TATTTCGTACTCTATTGCAAATATAATTAGTATATTCAATAAAAATTTAATAAGACAAAATTTAAAAAGAAAACAATCCACTCACCGATCTAATTCCAAGTAACAATGAGCAGCCTGACATCTAAATGGTAACTCCCATAAATCATCCACAGTAAGATCGTGTCCGTTACCCAATCTGATTATTGGAGCCATCCACGAAAAAGAGATGAGTGACCACAGAGACGCGATAGTATCACGAGATATCATTTTGTTCCTTGTGTACATCAATTCAGGATTTCGCGGTCTTAGAAGAGAAGAAACAAACAATACACCACAAGCACCAACATTCCATATAGCAAATATGAAAACAATTCCAGTTGTTTCATTTATAATAATAGAACGTAAATTAAAACACGCAATAATGAATAAAAGCGTGTATAAAACCAATAAATGTTTAATGAATGCATATTGAGTTCTTCGCGTCATAGAATGACAAGCAATCAATGCGGTGATATAAAGCTGAATGTATTAAGAGGACTAATTTAATAAGATCGCAGTAATAAGTAATACAACAAACAAATTCAAAATAATTACCCAAGAAATAAACAGGCCAACTATTCCAATGAACCAATAAAGAGCATTTTCACTATCGTCTGACACTTCAAAAATCTCATTTATCCTCCAGCCAAGAATGAAACCTACAGATCCTAGCTGAATGAAGGATAATATTAGCTGGACGACATCATGCATTAACATTGGTATTGATCCATTCGGTGCACTCTGAGATCTTGTGATTTGTTCATTGAATACTAAAGGGAAATAGACACTTTGATCTATTGATCGCCTACAACATGTGCGAATGACCAGGAATATTGTAGAAATAATGACAACGCATAAAGGTAGAGCAGCGTTCAAAAGGCTAAAAAAACAAACCAAATATAAATTACGATGATAATATTTTTAAATATATATATATGGAAATAATACTTACATTTCTCTAGCGCATGGGGTGAGATCTAAACCGTCTTTTGTTAAGGGTCCCTATTATCACATTGTATAAAATTTATGAGTCGACTAGCTGGCGAAACGAGAAATTTAAAGAGTAACGCACCCATTCGTCAGGGCTACAAAAATCCGTTGCGTTTATTAATAATGGCATTAACTTCGTTAGAATTAACGTTAAGACATTACACGAGTGTACGTAAACACGAGTATATAATTCATATGCTGATCCGACGTCACTCATAGGGTGTAAAATTTTATTAAATCTAGATATAACCTGAAATTCTTGATTACATAACTTTTTACACAATTGTATTTCAAAACAATTTAACAGCTGCAATTGTTTTCACGAGTCTTATGTTATTTAATATATT